GAGTAGTTAAGTAAATGAAACGTGCAGCCAGAGATATCTGGATTCAGATCCTGATATTACTCCTTATTAGCTATAAATTTTTACAGAAAAATTTAATCTGTCAGTCTCTCTGTTTCCTCATATAGTTTGTGATCATATTCTATTTCCAGAAGTTTTGAAAGTCCAGTGGGAGAAGGGATTTTAAGCACTAAGCCTAGGGTCTAGAAAATGATGATCTCTCAGTACATAAACATAATCCTTTCCCTTGATTCTATGGTTTTATAATATTTTTTCCTGATAAATTCTGCAAATATATTCCATGTCAAAGCACTCAGCAGACCTTTGGGAGATAATGATGTTTCTATTTCTTATCTTAAGGGATAGTAAATAATGGTTGTTATACCTATAAGGAATTTAGTTCTTGTAGTTGGGGAAAAGGCCCTGTGTCCCAGAGGACCACTGATTTCCCTGCCATCTACACCTTTAATCCAGTGGAATTTAGAGGTGGATGTAATGATAGCTCATGTTCACTGAGCACACTTCTTAGCATGTACTCCCTGTAGAAACTGACTCTCTGGATGACTCCCAGCTTTTGATTTGGGTGAGTTAAGATAGAGATACAAGACAGAGAAGGAGAGGAGAGGGCTACATTCAAACATCTGCATTTATAGAATTATGAGATCGTCAAAAAGGTAATTTATTCATCTCTTCAAATACACTTAGTAAAGCTCAGAATAAAGATCATAGACATGTAATATACTTAGAAGGTAGAATGGACCTTTTTTCTCCATAACTGATAAAAATATAGGTTAATTAGCTCTGAAGTATAGGGAGCACAAGGTCATATATACCCCAAATTAGAATTAATATAGCATTAAAGCTGCTTGACCAGATAGGCTTTTGAGGTCTGAGAGAGCTGTGAGCAAAGAACAGTTTCTTTCCGCTCAACATTAGATGTGATGAGTCATTGCAAATCTTATGGGAGGAAAAATATTTGGAATAAGGTGAAAAAACTGTGTCTGTTTATTGAGGTGATCAATTGGTCAAGATCAAGCCATAGCCAACCTTTTCTCCCTATAGCCTTTATTTTCAAAACACTCCAGACTCCTACATTCTCTTAGTCACATTAACTATCATAATATTTGATGTAGTTCATCTTCAAACTAGTTAATCTGCACAGATAAGAGACAGTACAAAGTATAGAAATACTTCATTGTAAACCTTTGTGGGACATAAACATTTCACCTAAATGGATTTTCTAAAAGAAGGCAGTTGATATTTCTGTGTGCCGCCTCCACACCCACATGTTGATTTCCAGGCTGCAGTGTAGGAAGACTAATAATTCTAAGAAAAAATGCAGGGTATGTTTTAGTAGGTATAACAAAGTGCTTTGCTTGTGCTTTAAAATATAAGATTATTAATATATCCATGCATATTTGAATGTACTTTTGAGCATTAAAGTACCTAGATCATAGAAGATCTAGGTATCTAGATCTTCTCTGAATGAATTTATTAATTAAAAAAATTATTTTAATGTTTATTTTTTGAGAGAGGGAGATTGAGAGCATGAGCAGGGAGTGGTAGAGAGAGAGACAGAGGATCTGAAGCAGGCCCAGTGCTGATGCAGAGAGCCCAGTGTGGGGCTCAAACTCATGAACCATGAGACCACAACCTGAGCTGAAGTTGGACGCTCAACCGACTGAGCCACCCAGGTACTCCTCAATTTGTTAATTAAAACGTGTTGGGAGCCAACAGAGAAATGTGAATAGCTTTGTGTTTCTCTGAAAGTGGAGATGTGAGTCATCAGGATCTTGAAGCCCTCAGATAAAGCAGTAATTATATTGAAATCCTCTTTCAATTAGTTGCTTTATCTCTCTGTCCCTGGAGTCCTGTCTCAGAATCATGGAAGAGCAAAGCAGTAATAAAGATCAAAGGCAGAAACTCTTTTATTTCACTATGGGCAGAGGTGGCAGGGATAGTTCTCTTATCTTACCTCTGATATCTAGGTATCTTGTGGAAATCTTGATAAATATCAGACATGGCATTGCATTTGTGAAAGTGTTGGGAAACACGATAGATTTGTCAGTGAGAATGGGGATGTGGAGTTACACAGGCTGTGCAGCTACTTGTGTTACTGTGTTAATAGGCATCATCCAATGCCAGTCTCAGGGCTGGGTCATGGTAATATCTAGCTATGCTATCATTTCTATACTGAGGAGAATTTAATCCTATGAAAGTGATAATAATAATATATTTATGAATCTAATATTCCACAACTTGATAAGATCTGTCAAAAAGAAGTGTAAAAGACTTGTAAAGATGCAATAAGAGCAAAGAGAAATAATCTGCCAATTTCTGTCCGAGGTAATTCAGCAAAAAGTCAGAGAGGAGATTACTTTTGAGCTAGACACTGTAAGAAGAGCAGTAGTTTGCAAAGGGAAATGAATAAAAGGGAGGGGGAGGAAAGTTGCAATTAGAAAAGTATGTGAACAAAAGCACAATTTTACAAAGAAGCATGACATACTGGGGAATACTTAGAAGGTTGGTGTTACCCCATGGAGGGTATAGAAAGAGTACCTGGTGAAAAGGCTGGAAAGAATGGTTTATTTTGTTATCTAAAATGCAGATCTTATTATGGATACTTAGAAACTTTACTGGAGCTCATTACCTATAGAATGATTACCAAATTCCATTAGAATGATTGGTTTCTTAAATTCTTGCTCTTTGTAAGATAGTGTTCTAATTTGTTAATGTATTAATTAACTTAATCCTCCCAGCAAGTTTTTGTTTCACCCACTTTCCAGAAGATAATACTGGGGAAAAAGATATAGTCAGTATGTATAAGACAACCTAAATCTTATTATGGAGATAAATGCATTTAATAAAAAGACATAAGAAGAGTCTATGATGAGAATGAAAATAATCAGATGGAAGGGAAAAAATGATAACATCACTAGTGATACTTGACCAATTTCAAGGTTTATTGAACTTTATTTCTTCTGAGCCAAATATTGTAATAATTGAAATTATTATATAAATGATCATTTTATAAGGCCCAGGCCAAACTGAGAAAAATCCCCAATAACACTGAGAATATTTCTAATCAAATATATAATCAGTCTGATGTGTTCTACATTCTTCCCCAAATACTGGGTAATGTAAGTCATATTCCAGTTTAATAAGGCATTTGACCAGTGTTTATGAATTATAATGTAGGGGTGCCAGGGTGGTTTAGTCAGAGCTCATGAGTTTGGAGCCTGTTTCGGATTCTGTGTCTCCCTCTCTCTTGGCCCCTCCCCTGCTTGCACTCTGTCTCTTTCTCTCAAAAATAAACAATAAAAAATTAAAAAAATTTTAAATTATAATGTAGTAAACAGGATTCAGTGTTTGTAATCTCATTATTATTATATTTAATAGGTCTCTTTCTAACTAATAAACAGTATACACACCATGTAGAGGGATCAATACATATTCCAGGATCATAAAAAGAATCCTGTTATTGGAATCTACTTACATCAAAATTATATTTCACTTGTTTTTATGTAGGTGTATGTATGTGGATAAATGCTTAATAATAACAAAAGAAACACATGATAATGATTATTTTAAAATGTTACAGATTATAACGTTTAAATGAAAGGGCTAGTTTTTTAATCATTTGTTTGAAATCTCTTTGAGAGTCTTCCTTGGGGCACCTGGGTGGCTCAGTTGATTAAGTGACTGACTTGATTTTGGCTCAGGTCATGATCTCACAGTTTGTGAATTCAAGCCCTGCATCAGGCTGTGCACTAACAACACGGAACCTGCTTGTGATTCTCTCCCTCCCTCTCTCTCTGCCCCTCCCCTGCTCGCTCTTTCTCTCTCACACTAAATAACCTTTAAAAAAAATTAAATGAAATCATCTTGAGAAATCTGACTTGAAGATTGTGAAAAATATCAATATCAATCACTAAGACTGACAACTGTGCCACGAAATATTGAGTATAGCATAATGAAAATATCATGAATTTGGCAGTCATGCAGAGTTTTGTGTTAAGAGTTCTGGTCTCTCGCCAGACTTCCTGTGCTGCCATTGCATTATCTGTAGCACTCTGGGCTTCGGTTTCCTAACTGGTAAAATTGGCAGAAAAATAATTGGTTTGCATTGGTTTTCTAGCTAAAATCAACAAATAGAAGGATTCCAGGACAATGCCTTTTTTCATGTTAGGATCAACTAAGTATGACTTTTCTTCCTTACTTCGTATGAGAAATAATTTGAACTGAAATCACACTAATAGTGTAGAAATCAAAAGAGATAACAAGTGCATGTATCTCTGTAGTGACTAGTATATTCAAATACAAGTAATAAAAGTTCAGAACTGGACACAGAATGTACAGAACAGAAGAGAACTTAGTGGAAGCATGAGTATTAAATGACTTTGTGAAGACTATGCAGAAGACAGGTGAGTCTGTAGTGCTCCATCAGAAAGGCCAGTGTAATGCCTTGCAGCTCCTGGGGCTTGGTTCTGTGACAGCACTAGAAAAAACAGGACTGTCTGAGAAATGAGTAACTATACTTGAGAAAGTGAGACATCGGCTAGAAAATTACATTTCAGGATGACATTGAGAAGGCTGCTGGACTAGATAAATTCTAAGATCCATTTTGCCTATAACACCAGATATTTTAGCAAAAGCTAATCTGGCCTTATGACTGAATCGAATTGTGAATTCAAGGAGTGGCATTGAGTTTTATTGTACATGGATGTTACATAGTTGGGTTTTTCTGCTTTGTTTTGAACAAATTTGTGAATTCATGACTTGATTTACAATAAGGGCTTTGTGTTGGGTTGCATAGTTTTGCCTAGTGTTACTAAGTTTTTTTTCACTCTAAATTATAACCTGAATGTTTTCTAATGTGATATTTTGGGGTCTTCCAGTTTTGTTTTCCATTTGTTGCCAGATTTGATTGTGATGGTCTTGCCAGAAAACTGTTGCCCTAAAAAGGAGGATTGCTTCCACAAAAGACAGAGAGCAGCTGTACTATGGGACCAGCCAATAAATCTCAAACATCTCCAGACACCTTCTTGCTGATGGGCATCCCAGGACTAGAGCACCTGCATATCTGGATTGGGATTCCCTTCTGCTCCATGTACATGGTAGCTGTGGTGGGGAATGTGACCATCCTGGCCGTGGTGAGGGCAGAGCGGAGTCTCCATGAGCCTATGTTCCTCTTTCTGTGCATGCTCTCTGTCACTGACCTGGTCCTCTCCACATCTACACTGCCTCGCATGCTCTGTCTCTTCTGGCTTGGAGCACGTGACATTGCCTTTGATGCTTGCTTGGCTCAAATGTTCTTCATCCATAGCTTTACTGCTATGGAATCAGGTTTTTTCCTGGCCATGGCCTTTGACCGTTACGTGGCCATTTGTCATCCGCTGCACCATACCACAATTCTCACCCATGCTCGCATTGCCAAAATGGGAGCTTCTGTGGTACTCCGGGGAGTGGCCTTCTTTTCCCCACATCCCATCCTGCTCAGGCAGCTGCCCTACTGCAGAACACGAGTCATTACCCACACCTACTGTGAGTTCATGGCCGTGGTGAAGCTGGCATGTGTGGACACAGGAGCTACCAAACGTTACAGCCTCAGTGTAGCCTCTGTCATTGGTTCCTGCGATGGCTTCTTCATTGCTGTCTCTTATGCCCTAATCCTCCGTGCAGTCTTTCACCTTCCATCACAGGAAGCAAGTTTTAAAGCTCTAGGAACCTGTGGCTCTCATGTCTGTGTCATCCTTGTTTTCTACTCCACAGCTGTCTTTACCTTCCTCACTCACCGCTTTGGCCACAATGTGGCCCCCCAAATTCATATCTTTATTGCCAATATGTACCTTCTGGTACCACCTTTCCTTAACCCCATTGTTTATGGTATTAGAACCAAAAAAATTCGAGACCATGTCCTTAGTTCTCTAAAGGTAAAAGTCACTTGATTATCCTGGAATTGTTTGCAGAGATGGTATCATAATCAGAAGGGAAATAGGGAAATAATTGATCCCATTTTTATAAATGACATGGAATTTTCTCCCACTGAAATCAGCCATTTTCACAGAGAAGAGTGACCACACATAATAGAAATTCCACAATTGTAGTGAAACTAGAGGGCATGAGACATTTTGTGCACACATGGATTTTAAGGAGCTTCCTTAAAGCTTTTTTTTTTTTTAATTTTTTTTTCAACGTTTATTTATTTTTGGGACAGAGAGAGACAGAGCATGAACGGGGGAGGGGCAGAGAGAGAGGGAGACACAGAATCGGAAACAGGCTCCAGGCTCCGAGCCATCAGGCCAGAGCCCGACGCGGGGCTCGAACCCGCGGACCGCGAGATCGTGACCTGGCCGAAGTCGGATGCTTAACCGACTGCGCCACCCAGGCGCCCCTCTTAAAGCTTTTTTAATTGGAAAGCAGTCCCCTTCTGCTCCTTGCTGCTACTGATCTGTGTTGTAACTGGGGGTGGTAGTTTATTTTCAAGTAGGCGTGATTTAAAAAAAGTGAAGAAGCCCATGAGAACCTCAAATATTCCATGTAAAGTATTTACAATTGAAAATTTAATGATCACTATCAATATTCTACAGAAGAGGCAATATAATAGGATTGATGTCTTTTTAATACAAGACATAGTAATTGTGTATTTTAGTCACAAGAATGGACACACACAAGACAAGTTGTCTAGCAGAAATGTGGAAAAGTTCAATAGTGCAATAATCAAGCCCACAGAATTTTTAAACATATTGCTCATAGAATATTCTGTCTCCACAAAGCATAACTTGTGCCTCTTACTGTTTTGTTATCTAAACTAAGACTGGGTCTCTTAAAGATATTCTCTTTACCTTCATCACAAATTATCCTGAAACCAGAAACAACTTTATGCTCGGTGGTATCTACTTGGGAATTTGCCCAGAGCTTAGGCCCAAGCCCACTGAACTAGATACAGATATTACATGTGCTTGCTAAAGGAGGTATCTATTATTATAAATAACTCAATTAATACGTTTTTAGTGATTATGCTCCTGGTGATAATTAAAAATAAAATTATTAAAAAAGATATAAGTATTTTACTGGTAAAAGTCTGAATATTTTCTCTTTAAAAAATATGATTCCTTCACTTCTTGGCTTGTACAAAATGGAAATTACTCCAGAGTCACTCAATAAACACATGCTGAATTTCCTTGAATTGATGTTCTCTTTTGTGTTTTTCTATTTGTAAAGTATTATTTGTACCTTCTTTCTTCTGTTTAGTATAGGAGCTTCTTAGAAGTAAATATCTGGGCCGCTTCTCTGTATTCCTTTTCCTTAGACTCTGTTGCAATGTTGTTCAAGCTTTTATAATTTTCAATTTGGGATATTTCAACAGTTGCCACTGATATGTTCAAAGCATTAGCTTTTAATTACTATGTCTAATACATCCTTTACATTGAGATCATAGTTATCCTCATAAAAATTTAGAAAACAAACAGAATTGATATGTCAGACCCATGTAAGCACCAGAATAGCAAAGCAAAACTTAATGAAATTCTTTTCTGCTCCTTCTCTTCTCATTCTTATATATCATTTGAACTGGTCCTGTTCATAAAGTCCCCCGCCTTCATTCAAACAATATGTCTCTCCATATCTTCATGTTTTGCTTAGAATGTTTCTCTCCTACCTATTCTCTTTGTCACCTGGGAAGAACTTAATTATCCTTCAAGATCCAGCTCTTGTTTAAACTCCCCCACCTTATCAGAAAGATTACATTTTTTTCCTCAAATCAAATTAATTAAAAATTCCCCCCACCTCTATTGTAAAAAATGCCATGATAGATTTTAGTTAAATTCTTAATATGCCTTTTGCCAATTAAACTCTTGGTATGGTTTGGGGTTAAGTGCACTGGCTCTAGAAGCAGAGTGCTGAGTTCATTATTCATCTCTGTCACTTTCTATCTGTGTGCTCACAGGCAAGTTGTCCAAACTTTCTGGACCTTGTTGTCAAAATTAATAAAATGAGGATTGTAAGATTTCTTGCCCCGTAGAATTTTAAGGATTAAATGAATGAAAGCATATAAGACACTTAACATAGTTAACATCGTGGATTATCATAACAAGTATAATTTTGTGTATTTATTATATGTCAGATTTGCAAGACATAGGTGTGCATTTATATGTATATATGTGTGTGGGTAAATGTTTACATTGATATGTATACATGCAATTTAAATTATATAATTATCACCATAATCACTAGATTATTAGTCTTTATTTTACATATGAGTAATTTAGACTCAGAGAGATTAAATAATTTGCTCATAGTCACATATTGACTAAGTGGTATAGTCTGGATTTAAACAAAAATGACAGTAATTAATCCCACTTTAAAATCCATTTACTTTTATTTTTTATTTTTTTAAATTTTATTTTAAATTCCAGCACAGTTAACACACAATGTTATATCTGTTTCAGGTGTACAATATAGTGATTCAGTAATTCTGTAGATTACCTAGTGATCATCATGACATGTGTCCTCTTTAATCCCATCACCTATTTAACCCATCCTTCCACCCATCTCCCCTCTGGTAACCATCAGTTTGTTCTCTATAGTTAAGAGTCTTGTTTCTTGGTTTTCCTCTCCTTTTTTTCCCCTTGTTTGTTGTTTCTTAAATTCCACATATGAGTGAAATCATACGGTATTTGCCTTTTTATGACTGACTTATTTCACTTGGCATCATATTCTCTAGCTCCATCCATGTCATTGCAAATGGCAAGATTCATTCCTTTTTATGGCTGAGTAATATTCCATTGTGTATATATACCTCATCTTCTTTATCCATTCATCAGTTGGTGGATATTTGGGCTCCTTCCATCATTTGGCTATTGTAAATAATGCTTCTATAAACATAGGGGTGTGTATATCCTTTTGAATTAGTGTTTTTGTATTTTTTGAAATCTCATTTACTTTTTATCTATAACACCTCCAAGTGTCCTGTGAACCTATGTGTTCAGTGAATGATTCTGAAGGAATGAATAAAGCAATAAGATGTTTGAATTCACATTTCCTGTATTTTAGAACTCCCGATCATGTGATAGTTGTAATTAAGGGACCTGCATTAAAGCCATAAGGATATCTTTCAATGATCTTTTTTTGTAAGATAATGGAGAGTAATGACAATGACAGTAGAGACAGATCTCTCCCAGTCTAAAGAGAAAAGACGTCTTAAGGAAACGTAAACTCTGAGACTATTGCCATTATGTTGGATGTTTCCTGAAGACAAATTATTGTCTGGACCTTCTTGCTATATTTTTGTTATTTGGAGTACCATGAACCATGGAATTTAATTATAATATATCCCCTGACAAGTATCAGCATTGCTTACATGTTAGGTTTGGAAATAAAAACTAAGGAGTTAGTACTCACAGATTATATACCAATGGATGGCAAATAAGAAATGTCCAACAATAACAAACACAAAACTAAATCTAAATCTTCAAAGATTCTGAATTGAATTCTAGTTAAAGGAAGGAAGATATACAACTTATTCATATATTCATGCATCAAAAAATGATGGAGTGGCTAAAATGGGCCAGATTGTGCTAGGTCCTGAGAAGAGGTGAGCAAAACACAAGTCCATGTCTCAGGGACTTTACATTCTGGGGAAATGTAATGTGAAATAATTAAATGATACTCAAATGATAATTACACTGGATACTAAGGGCTGTCAAGTAGAAACAAAGATTTCTGTAAGTGCACATAACATGGGGTTTTGCTCTAGTCTAAGGGAGTCAAGGAAAGCTTCCTTAAAAATGATATTTGAGGGGCGCCTAGGTGGCTCAGTTGGTTGGGCTTCCGACTTTGGCTCAGGTCATGATCTCCCAGTCCGTGGGTTCGAGCCCCGCATCAGACTCTGTGCTGACAGCTCAGAGCCTGGAGCCTGCTTTGGATTCTGTGTCTCCCTCTCTCTGCTCTGCCCCTGCTCGCACTCTCTCTCACTCGCTCTCTTTCGCTCTCTCTCTCTCTCAAAAATAAACATTAAAAAGGAAATTAAAAAAAAAAAACACATTTGAATGCCAAGTGGGAGTTAAGCAGCTGAGAAAAGAAAGATCATGAAATGGGACTGGTGATGTTACAGGGAAAGAGAACAGGATATGTGAACATGTGTGGGTGGATCTTTAGATAGGAAGTGGCACCATATGTTTGAAAACTTGGAGAGAGTCCATTTTGTGGGCTGAAGGACAGATAGTGAAGTGAAGAGTGGATGTCTGGGGCTGAGGATTCTCAGTTTTATCCTAAAAATGAGAGGAGGACTGTGAACATTTTATGCATAGGAGTGACATCATGTTTGTGTTTTTAAAAGATCATTGTGGGGCACGTGGATAGCTTAGTCCATTAAGCATCCAACTTCTCAGGTAATGATCTCATGGTTTGTGAGTTCCACCCCACATGGGGATTTCTGCTGTCAGCACAGAGCCCATTTCAGATCCTCTGTCCCCTTCTCTCTCTTGCACATGCACACTCTCTCTCTTTCTCTCCCCCTCTCAAAAATAAGGAAAGATACAGGGAAAATAAAAAGACCGTTGTGACTACAGTGAGGAAAATGTTTTGCGACAAAGAATGGAAGAAAGGAATGCAAAAGGCCTCTTAGAACATTATAAAAGTTTTTGAGGACAATATGATAATAATTTGATCCAAGTTGGTAGCAATCATGATAGAAAGATTTCATTTATTTGAGTACCCTGAGTATACTTTAGGCTAGGAGAAAATGGCTTAATGAAGACTTTGCTCACAGGTTGCAGGACTGTTGGTTACCCTTCAGGTGTTATTATAGGCCTAGAGTCTAGAGTGGAGACCTGTGGGGGCAGGGGAAGAGTGTGTGCATTTATTCATATGTAAACATTGGAAGACCTGCAATTCACCAGGCACTGGGGAAATAAAGTGAACAAACAAGATCCAGTCACTATCATTAGGATCTTTATATTTGACCACCAGCAAAACAGTTAACAGATTTTCCCTCTCTTTACCATTTACTCTCAGATTGAGCTTCTGACTTCTGCCAAAGGTCTTTCTGAAACTCAGTCTCTCCTAAACCCAGTATTGTGCTTTTTAAAAAAAAATTTTTATAGAGCTCCTCTCTTGTTCCTACTTTAATCTCACTCCTTTATGTTTCTTTTTATGTATCTTACTTACCTAACAAGGGCCTTATTTAGTCACTTAAGATGTATTTCAGTGGATACACTCTTTGAAGTGTAACTAACATATAGTTATATTAGTTTCTGGTGTACAGTATAATGATTCAGAAATTCTGGGAGCACCTGGGTGGCTCAGTCTGTTAAGCGTCCGACTTCAACTCAGGTCATGATCTCATAATTAGTGGGTTTGAGCCCCAAATCAGGCTCTCTGCTATAAGCAAAGAACCCACTTTGGATCCTCTGCCCTCCTCTGTCCCTACCCCTCCCCTGCTTGGGCTCTCTCTCTCTCTCTCTCTCTCTCTCTGTCTCTCTCAAAAGTTAATAAATAAACTTAAAAAAAATTCTGTACACTTCTCAGGGCTCATCAAGATAAGTGTGCTCTTAATCCCCCTTTTTTTCCCAACTTTTTGTGGATTTTAATTGCATCTAGGAAATCAAGACTCCTAATTTTAGTTTAAGTTTTGCTTATAGAGGTCCCAAAGTCACTGGAAATGAAAATGATTTCAACTATTGGTTTGGAAGCAAGCTGTAGCAGTTTTAAAATGCTTATAGCTTCACACACATCTGCCTTCTGTTACTCCAGGTGTGCTTTAATTTCCATCCTAAATGATTCTCCAGCCCTTACTCTTTCTCTCTAGGGTTTCTAAACCTTATCAACAGTTAGATTTACAGTGCTCCTTAATATCTGCTCTTATTCGTACGTGGTATCCTTAGTGATTGGCTCTAGGATTTGTTTTCGAGAATATCCAGGCTAAATAAGGCACTTTACCAACAGAGAGGCCAGTAGGGATCCCCAAGGACCAGAACAAACAGCATAAATCTGCCTTTTATTCTGGTCATCAGCAGATCTTCCCCATACCTTCAGTAAATGAATGCTTTGCTGCTCCCAGTCCCACTGTGACTAGACTCCCAACCATCTACAGGTACTACTTACTCTAGGAAAAGAGAGGAAAAGGAGGGAAAAGAGTAGAAAATCCTGGGATGCAAGGTCATGGAGGGAAAAAGAGATTCTCTTTTAATCCACATACTACCATCACCAGCCCTTGTAAGGCCATGGTTGGAATCTACAATCTTTAGGATACCCAGTGACACTCTTTAGAAAATAAGTATATTTCTAATTTTTATGTCTAAATTGGTGGGGTCTTTACTTATGATTAATGTTGATATAGTTGTTCCTGGCAACTGTTCGTGATTGCTCAGACAGAAATTTACCATGTTGTTAAAACTCTGTAATGTCCTAATGTCCCCATCACATGGAGAAATTTTATCTACATTATTCCTCATGGTTCATAATTCAATTTCTACCTGAAAACTCCAATTGATAGTGAGCTTCTGGTGTCACAGGACTGTCTTTTCTATTTGAATTTGTGATAGGATCATTCCCCCTATTGGACTAAAATACACCTTTAAAAATTGTTTTAACATCCTTTATTTGGCCAGATATCTATTTCTGGTGACACTATTTTTTTTTTTTTTTTTTTTTTTGCTCTTTAGTATTTTTTTGCTCTTTAGTATTTAAGGATAAAGTTATTTAGGGCCATCAAATATTCCTTTTTATGGTGTCAATTAAAGAGTATTCATTATCCTCGTTACAGTTCTTTCCAAGAAACAACCAAAAGAACATTACTTTTTCCATATCTCACTTAAAATTTGTACTTATAGAAAAAGAAGAAAATTTGCATGTATAGAATATCAATACATTCGGAAAATTATACCAGGATCATTGCATGTTTTATACAATATTGAAATTTAATCATGGATTTAATCCTCACTTCAAGCTTTGAAAGGTAAGCCTCATCCCAATTTTGAGATGAGGAAATGAGGCTTTGTCTTAAACAGCTTGATCAGGTCACTTAAGTGGCAGGACTGAGATTGTATCCCAGACATGTGTTTTCTCAAAGGCTTTGCTATTTTAACTATCCCAAGTTACCTTCGAGGAGGTCTGACTATCCTGTGGCTATTGTGTGCTTTTTGGCAAATGCAGTTGACACATGAAATACTTAGATCTCAATTTATGATGTATAAACATTACAGTGGTATGTTAGCAGATATGCCACTCTTATTGGGGGCTCTTCAAAATTTAAAATTTATACCTGAGACTGCTTCTCCCTTCTTCAGTGAGAGTAGCCTAGGATTATATCCCTCCACACCTTAAGTAACTGAAGCTTTTGATCATTAGTTTATGCAGTATAATTATGATTATCACCATAAGCTACTGGAATACCCAGCATTTTAGGTGCAAATGATGCTGTGATTTCAAAATGTCCCTTGTTTCTTTCTCCCTAGGAATCAGACTGTTAGGAGTTCAGATTAGGGATGTCCTCTTGCAACAACTCCATTCCTCAACCCTTGACATTTGTCCTGGCTGGAATTCCTGGCTTGGAATCTTCCCATGGCTGGTTCTCTGTGCCTTTTTTCTTGGTATTTGTCATTACAATGATTGGGAATGCCGCCATCTTATGCATCATCTGGGTGGAGAAGAGTCTTCATGAGCCCGTGTTTCTCCTCCTGGCCATGCTGTCTGTTGTTGACCTGTCCCTGGTCAGTGTCACTGTGCCCCGCATGCTAGGGATCTTCTGGATGAATGCCAAAGACATCAGCTTTAATGCCTGCCTCACACAGATGTTTTTCATCCCTTCATTTTATGTCATGGAGTCTGGGATCCTCCTAGCCATGGCTTTTGACAGATTTGTGGCTATCTGGTACCCTCTGAGATATACAACCATCCTTGCTAACAACATACTTGTGAAGATGGCTCTGGCTGTCCTGACAAGGGCAGTGGCAGTGCTGACTCCAGCACCCATCCTGGCAAAAAGACTGGAAAGCTTCCAAACCCACATCATCTCTTACTCCTACTGTGCCTACATGGCTGTGGTACAGATAGCCTGTGGGGACATCTCCAACCACATTGTCTATGGCCTCATGGTTATTGCAACATCTGTGGGATTTGATTTGCTTTTTATCATTCTGTCCTATGGGCTGATCCTTCATGCTGTCTTCCGGATCCCCTCTAGGGAGGCAGGGGGCAAAGCTCTCAGTACATGTGGCTCCCATCTTTGTGTCATAGCTCTCTTTTATTCTCCTGTTGTCTTCTCTGTCCTGGCCCAGATTTTAGGCTACCATATGGCTCCCTATATCCAGATTATCATTGACAACCTCTACTTCCTAGTGCCTCCCATGGCCAACCCCTTGATTTATGGAGCCCGGACTAAGCAAATGCGCGAGCGGGTACTACGGATCCTCCGCTGTCATAGAAACTGAGGATGATATCTGAGGTGGACAGGATACCTGTGATATGGAGCTGGAAATCTTGTTAGGTTTAAGGTAGAGATAATGGTTGCCTGATTTGAGGCTTCCTGGGCAAAGGAATAGCAAAGGCAAGAGAAGGATTCTGTGAGTGTGGGCACATAATGGGGGGCATGTTCTCTCTGTCAGAATGTAGTTTTTATGAAACTCTCATGACCAGAACCTTCCCCAAATGTTTATGTAAGTTATAAAGTAGGAGATATTTTGTTGTTAATTCTATTATTTAATCCCATCAGAGAACATAAATTGTAAGCTCATTTTTTTCAAATGATGTAAAAAATGAATTTAGTCATACATTCTCATGATCTATGGGCAAAAATAAGTATCCAAATTTTTTGTTGATTCCATGATTTTTCTTCCACACCTATGTTTTCAGATATTATACCAACATAAAATTATATATCATAAAAAACAATCCTAATGGGAATAAACATGTATAAATATCTATGATCATGTCTGAGTAATGAGCTCCTTTTTGGTCTGAATGGTTTTAATGCAGAAGAGTCATCTATAGAGAGTTACTATTGGTGTCTAAATATGGAACCAATATACAGTGGGTTGGACTTGGTAGGTAAGTATTTTACAAAGCTGGGGTGGGGGTGCGGAGAAGGCCTTTAACAAAGATATTTTTTCACTAGCTTCGTTTTCTCCCTTCCACCTACCTGACCTCATATACTTTCACATATTCAAGACACCTGAATCTGTATCTTTTTATTTTTTATTTTTTTTTAATATTTTTTTTAACGTTTATTTATTTTTTGGGGACAGAGAGAGACAGAGCATGAACGGGGGAGGGGCAGAGAGAGAGGGAGACACAGAATCAGAAACAGGGTCCAGGCTCTGAGCCATCAGCCCAGAGCCCGACGCGGGGCTCGAACTCACGGACTGCGAGATCGTGACCCGGCTGAAGTCGGACGCTTAACCGACTGCGCCACCCAGGCGCCCCCTGAATCTGTATCTTAAACCATGAATTATGTCTGTGTTCCAGGAAAAAAAAAACAAAAACAAAAACATTATAATAGCCTTGTGAACAACTCTTCATATATACCCTCAACTTAAATCTTCCCAAACTAAACTCTTAGTCTCCTACCTAGCTTGATTGTCCCTCTGCATTCCCCATTTTTTTCTTTTGACTTCAGTTAAATTAAATAAAAAATTTGAAATTACTTAGTTGTCTTTATTTCTTTTCCTTCATCCAACCAGTGACCAAGACATACCTGCACATTTCCACTCTCTACTTCTCTACCTCATACTTTCATCAGTGTACTACAGATTCTCCTAACTTTCCTATACCAAATCTCTCGCCTATCCAAAGTTGTTATTAGCACTGCAACACGTCTTTCCCAAGAAAATATCTCATTTTGTCCACTTAAATCTCCAGCAGCCTATTCCTCAAGACAAAGTCTAAACTCCCCAGCACTCAAGTTATTGCTTGAGTTGATGCTCATCTGCCTTGCCAGGTGCTTTCTTTTCACTAAATCATAATTAGGCATCAATCCAGCTAAAGCTGACTGCTTTATTTGAAAAGAAACAACACATTCCTTGCTACTTTAGCTCATTCTTAATGCTATTTTGGAGGCATTTTCACTTGGTCTTTCTTACTCAAAATTCTTCCCATCTCACACTTCAATTTGTTTGCCTTAATGCCTGCCTTCAGATGATATCACTCAGTCATTTTCTGTATTGCCAGACACTAGGTTTCCTTGACCTGGCCTATAATTCAGATGCTGGTCTGCATGCCTTCCCATTACCCTCACACTGACTTTTCTTTAAGGTCCATGCCCAGAAACTGAATTTTGCACTGCACATAAGCAGATTGTAATCCTCCTTGTCTTAGTTTTTCAGAAACAGTATTGAATATCAACTCATAAACCACGGGATAACCTATACATGTAAATCATACCCATCTTCTTATCTCTAATGTTCACAATTTAGATATCCCTAAGTCTAACTGGAACAAAATTACACAGATGACATTTATGTCGCACAAATGATACAAATATACATGCTTTTTGTTTCATATACATGCTTCCGATCATCTTATTTGTCTATAAACGTCTCTTTCTCTCAGTCTGTCTCTGAAACATGCTATCATATTCATATTTATACACGTTCGTACACCATACCTGAGAAACGCAAGCATTCACAAGCACATATATGTACACGTGTATCTGACGTACATGTTAATTACATCCATAAATATGCAAAACCACGATTAAACTCCTTGCAGTTTGCCTGAACAAGTTTTCAGAGACCTAACTTTGCTCAGATAAATTAACGACTCCTCTCCGAATGCCCCTACCACATGCTGTTTATCATTATCTGGGACTCACTCATTTTATGCAATACTTTCTATGTAAGCCTTCCTTGACCTCCCCTCTCTTCTTTTTCTCTACTCTCTATTGGGTTCATTTTCAGTGGTCTCCAGCATCACTCAATCCTTCCTTAATTGTAACACATGATTACTTCATATGACAATTGCCTCTTTACATGATCTTTTTCTACACTAAAATTAAATATATAATATTATATAGTGAAACCTCTTCGACTCCATTTCTGAATATTATTTAGGGCATGCTCTTTCACCTTCAGTGTACCATTGGTGTTCCCTCAAATATAATTCCCCTTCTCAATTGTTATAATTAATTTAGCTAGGCTATAAACAACTCCCAAATTAAGAGTTTGGGATTGTTTGGGCTCAATACTCTCATTTCATTTTTCTCTCATGGTTGCCTGGCAAAAAGGGTTGCGTGGGGCTAGAATCTTGTGAAGAGTCGGTGAGAATGGACATCCAATGTGGCTTCTTCATGGACAAGCCTGGTGCCATAGTGCTCCTCCCCCTAGGCTCTCTCTCCATAAAATTAGCCTGGGTTTCTTACTTGGTGTTTCAGGGCTTCATGAGGTAAAGACCACAAGCTGCTGGACCAGATATGGTCTATACCCAAGACTTAGCATCACTTTTGTAGTATCTTATTTCTCAAAGCAGTCAAAGGATTTGACCAAATCAAGGGGTTGGAAAGTAGACTATTGATGATTAGATTGCAGAAAAACATTGAGTTTAGAAAATACTGTTATAGCCATCTTTGACAGGTCCAGTCTGGCATAGTGTCTTCTCTGTCTACGACAGTTCACATCCCTTTCATTAGCAGCATATACTTAACATCTCCTCTAAAATTCCAGGCCTCATCCTATTATGATATCTGTCCAGAATTTCATCATCTAAATCATATCCAGATGTAGGTGAGGCTTCAAAGGTTTGGTTCCTTAGATATAGTTCTTTGAGTACAATTTCCTTTTTCTTTTTTTTTTTTTTTTAATTTTTTTTTCAACGTTTACTTATTTTTGGGACAGAGAGAGACAGAGCATGAACGGGGGAGGGGCAGAGAGAGAGGGAGACACAGAATCGGAAACAGGCTCCAGGCTCCGAGCCATCAGCCCAGAGCCCGACATGGGGCTCGAACTCACGGACCGCGAGATCATGACCTGGCTGAAGTCGGACGCTTAACCGACTGCGCCACCCAGGCGCCCCATACAATTTCCTTTTTCTATGAATATCTATTAACTGAAGAGATAAGTCTTCTGCCTCTTACACTGCCAACATAGAATGTTAGTACAGCAATAAGAAAACTGTAAAAACATTCCCATTCCAAAAGAGGAAGAAAGATGGAGCATGGGAGTCGCTGGTCCCTAGCATGCTAAAATCTAAGGCACACATTCTCAGCTTCTTGATTAAGTTCTTACCCTGCTCCATGAGGATAATTCTGTTTCTTTGTGGTTCTTGGCTTTACCTTCTGAGACCTAGACCCCATACTCTGTATCATCACTCATTTTCTAAAAGAAGTGGACCACATTTTCATTTTATCTTCCTAAGCCTATAGTTTGGGGACTCTAGTGGTTCTTTTCATTTTGAGATGCCTGTACTTTTCAATCTAACCAGGCAGTTCTTCTGACTAGTAAAGGATCTTGAAAGTGCATACTTTTATCCAGAAGCTAGCTCATGCTTTAAGAGTATATAATGTCTAGAGAAAAAGTGAATGAGAAACAATTTTGTGTTCAAACTCAGAAATACCTGAGGCTTCTGTGGCTGTTATGAGTAGTGTTTGAAAGTTAAACACTTACTTCTTTTAACTCATTTTTCCCTATACATATTTTATTACAAGTGGCATTGTCAACATTATCTGGAAGTTTCCTTCCTTTTTTATTTTCTACCTTAAAAAAAGTTCCACCATCCACAGATACCTTTATTCTCTGGTACACAATGACAATTTTGTCATTCTATTTAATGCCTTCATTAACAGTCTTATTGGTACCCTTCAAGATTCTGTCCATCCACTCAAAGCCAGTGCTTCGTATTCTAGGGGTTTCTGTTATTGCAGAATCTAGTTGTTAACATCATTTTTCATATGTATGTATGTATATATGTGTGTGTGTGTGTGTGTGTGTATGTGCTATTGTTTATTTATTTTTGAAGGGAGGAAGGGGCAGAGAGAGGGGAACAGAGAATCTGAAGTGGGCTCCACGCTGACAGCAGCAAGCCTGATGTGGGGCTCGAACTCATGAACCACAAGATCATGACCTGAGCCGAAGTCAGACACTCAACTGACTGAGCCACCCAGGCATCCCTTTATATTTTAACTGGTGATGTGCAGTATAACACTGCAAAACTTAATGGCTTTAAATGGTATTTTATGATTTTTTTTTCTCTCAAGTTACTGTTGATTGTCTGGACTCATCTGTGTAGTTCTCACTTGGGAGTCTCTCAAGCAGTTGCAGATAATGTTTAGAACAGGAATCTAAGACTGGGTACTCAAGCCTTCTTCATTCGTATGTTAGGCATTGTAGTCTACCTCCACACTGACTCCTGTTCCATCGGGTTAGAATTAGGTGGGTTCTTACATGGTGGCATGAAAACAGAAAAGGTTGTGGTATTAGTTAAGGTCTCTACCAAGACCTGGCACAGATTGTTTTCTGTTGTATTCATGGCAGATGAAGGGCCTTAAATATATCAGGGTATAGGGAAGAGTCCATTCTTGACTG